TATATACTGTATTTAGTCAGCTTCATTATAACATGTTTATAAAAGTACAAGAAAATGGAAAATGAATATTTTGCCAGGTGTTAAAAATGTCCGCTTTAGCATTAGTACTTTTAGTATACGCAATGTGAAGTCATCGAGTGCCACAGTGCAATGTAGGTAGAATGAACAGGCAAAGTATCACAAAATTGTATCTCTTAGCTGGCCAATGGTTGAGGTGCATGACATCACTGTATGATTAATAGTACAACTCCAGCCAGGTGACTCTTAATGCATGACTCTGTGTCTCATGATTTCTGCCTCTCACTGCAGCCGAATTTTAAAAGAATGTCAAAGAAAGCATATACATAGTATGAACAAAAACAGAATTTTAATAGTTAATCAATCTGCCCTATATAGTAATTATTTGAATTACGTAACCGTGCCCCTCAGCCCCTCCCACCCCTTTCTCTCTCAGAGTACCACACGTACTTTAAGCTTGGCACACCGTGGCTTTGAATGTTTCCATTCACTGGGTGCTTGGTGACATAACTCACGTACTGTACTGCTGCATGCAAAGGCAGTGTCTCCCTTGCTCACAGACACAGCTGCAGGTTTTGGAACAATATGATGTTATGGGGCTTCACTCATAAAGCCTCAAAAGGCTAAGGACTAATTTACATAGAAACAAAAACAATCCCATTTATATCACCTATATTTTATGTAAACTAGTGCAGTAAGTTGCAAATTGCAATACTTGCTAGTCCTGAATCATCACATTTGCATTTCCACATTCATTCAGAATATGAAAACATTCATTTTGTGTTTCCCATTTGCATAAATCATGTAATTAAACTTACTGAAACTAAAGGATACTTTTTTTTTTTTTTATTAATGAAGCAGCTAACAACAGATAGCAGAATAACCACATTGCAGTAGTAGCTGGATGTCACTGTGAACTAATCCAAAAACAGGCACCAAAGCAAAATTTCACAAAGAAATTGTCACGTACTCATAAAACTCTCGACACCAAATACATGGTCTGTTTTTCATCTCTCCACAAGAAGAAGCCTTGCAAAAATACACTGCACAGATCCTGGAATCCATTCGTGACTGAAAATGTCCTTTAGGGCATTATTAGTTGGCTGTTAACCATGGTTGCTGGAGGACATCAAAGCATAATGTTGAATATGTCGTTTGACAAGGTTAACAGAAGAGAAACAACAATCAAAACCAAGCTAGTATAATAGCTTCTTTTTCATTCTTATCTGATAATGGTCTTTGATGACTATCACATGCAGCATGGAAGTAAATCAAAAACGTTTGACTTATTTCCAATAATAATCTCATTTGGTCTGTGCTCCTAGTGGAAAAAAATATATAATAAAAGCAGGGGATCCTCAAAAGCAATCTTCTGCCATTGCATCAAGTAGATTAACATATAGTGGGATCATAGGTATCGTCACATGGCCATTACCAACATCATGGTACATGGGATTTAGAGATATTTCGGTCTCAACCACCTGTCTGGCAAACCAAGACTTTGTGATACACCCATGCATAATCATTTGCGAAACCAAATGAACAGCAAATTCACATGTCACATGTATTCACATGAGTTTTCCAAAATCAGTTAAACTGTGCACATAAGCATTTTTAAGATACAAGTACCAACCAAAGAGGCACGTGCATTCACACACAGACACAATAATGCCGTACCCAGCTGACTACATGCCAATCTTGTTTCTGTAACACATGCAGTACAAGGCTCCAGCTGTTCACTTGTTCCACTTCCAGTTTTACCAATGTAACATCGTCTTCATCTCTCTCTATTTTGATCACACCCCCCAGAACATTGTAGTCATTGCTGCTATTCTTGGCTCTCTGGCATGACACCTTACACACTCATCCCAACATAAACACCCCTCGAAAGGCACAACTGCAGTGTGAACCCAGGAGAACAGTAGGTCTGCTTAGGACTCTGGTGTGATTCAAATTATACTGGAGAGCTTTCAGGATGTGACAGTGTTGTTGGCTTTTGTGGCCTAAAGCATGCCTTAAACTATCAGGGGACCTTTGTTCCATAAATAATCTTTTGTAATAGTATTTCATCTTTATTTACATTGACATGTATTAATATAAACAAATGAAAACATAAAATAAAAATGTTATTGTCCTTGAATAGATAGCAATTAAATATCCACTTAATTACATATTAACCTTACAAACATCTTAAAGTAAATAGCTATAATTTTTCATACGCTTGTGAGCTCAAGCTTTTAGTCACTTGAGCCTTTAGAAAAAAGCCTTAATGTGTTCAAAGAAGACAGTAATACTTTCAAAAATATGGATCTATAAGTATGTGGACATACAAACACATTCTATACATGTTTCAAAAACCATAGTCGTTAATGAGATTTTGCCCCACCTTAACTGCTGCTAAGCTCAGGTTGTAATAAGACCAGGCAATGATTGTGGTAAATGTAACATGTTTATATATTTCATTTAATTAAAAGCGCTTTCTAAACAGTGCATAAAAATTAAAAACATTGAGTTAGACTAAGCATTTGATGAAAAAGGCGGAGAAAGCGAATTCATTACACTTTCAGTCAAAGTGCAAACTTGAAGGTCAAGACAGCATCTCTCTTCTATCTATAGTGTTTAATATATGAGCCCTCTTTTTCTGTTTCACACAGAGTAAAATAACAGCAGTATTACTCCAATGGAGCACGATTTCTTACAAGTCACTCTGCAACACAATGTCTCAGAAAGAGTCAGAGAACAGATCTCTAGAGCAGTCACATGTCTGGCTCCCATGAATCCCTTCGCTAACCTCTTCACTGTCACAATTTTCTGTCTTTCTCAGCACACACTCGATGGAACCAAAATTGTTGCGGTTGTCTGTCAGCTTTCTTTTGCGAATTGGCACACTTTGTTGGATTTTACTCGCAGGTGTAGGAGGAACAATTGCTTCATTGTCATAGCCACACTCTGACACGTCAATAAATCTTGCTTTACAGTTGATTGACATGCGGTTTAGAGCCTCTTCCTGCACCCTAAGGTGCTGCAGAGGTTGTAGACTGTTTTTATGCTCGACTGGTTTCAAGAATTTTCTTTTGGGGGTAAGTTTGTGGCTGTGTCTGCTGGATGTAGTTCTCCACACAAAGTTTTCTTTGACAGATTCCATCTCACTCTGCAAAGCCTGGTCAGCATTACCACAGTTCAGTTTATGAACAGAATTGTTTTTACTCTCCATTTCATGTAAATTTGCATTAAAACTTTTTTGATTGACAGGCTGTGAACTGAATTCACCTGTCACGCTTTTGTACAAGTCAACACATGAGTATGATACGACGCCTAGTTTTACAATGGGTGTGGACTGAGAGGGAGGGACAAAGTCCAATTCTTTTGTGTCTTGTGGAATCAAACTCTCCCTGCATTTACTTTTTTTAAATTTCCCTTTATCTGGTGTTGATTGTGTCACATTCGCATTTTCATAAATCAGATGATGCTCATCTGCCTTGGAAAACTGTGAGCAAGCTTCCATGCCATCACCGACGGCTTCTGCATGCATGGTGAACCTCTCCGTTTCAAGATTGATCGTGTCTGAGCTATCAAACAGATCTGCTGAACAGTTGTAGGCATCCCCCTCAAGCTGCTTTTCTTCCTCCTTTTGAAAAGACAGTGAACTAGCTGTGCCATCCACCTGATAACACCCATGGGAATAAATGTTTCTATCTTGACTCCTTTTGACAAACAGAAGAGGGTTCTTGCATTCTTTGCTGGCTGAATCATGTGAGCCACATCCATTTGTTGCAGGCGTATTAGTGGCATCCAACAATGCTTGCAAATGCCTGTCTGTTATTTGTGCATTTCTTTGGGAAGATGTTTCACTTATTAAGCTGCTGTTTCCCAGGTTATTTCTTGCCTTTACTTCCTTCCAGTGAACATTCTGAACTTGTTTCGTATCTCTATCAGTGTCAAAATCTTTATTGGCTTCACATAAAAACTCTGTCAGACTTTCAGAGAAAGGCAAATCGTTCCAAGCCAATGAGCTTGATGAAAATGTTCTGGTGAGCTGTCCAGTAGAAAACTCCTTTTCTTTGGGGCTATTCTGACAATACTGGGACGGCCTTAACCAAGTCTTTAGGCTAAGGCTGTTTCCAGCTCCCTTCTCAGATGATGGACTCTCATAAAAACTGTGCTGCAATGAGAAAAAAGGAGCCAAGTCCTTTTCCACTTTTTGGTTTTCCTGGCAACCCCTCTGTGCAAGATATGGTGTTACACTTTTGTCAGCCTGACTTCTGTTTTCATCTCCACATTCCTGGGTACTGCAGCCTTCTTCCTGCTCTGCTGATGATGTAACCAGTCCAAGAGATTGCTGCCATGGAGCTGTGGGAGTAAGGGTGCAGTCTATGTAACGTGATCTAGGAAGGAAACAAAAGCTATTATCAATTATCATTTTTGCATGTAATGTAACACCACCTCCACCCACATGCTTAGAAGTCAATATCAGTAGCTTATGAGAATATGTGTGGTTTTTACTTTGGCTTTCAGAGCCATTTATTGTTATTTTGTAGTCCCTACAAAGAAATAGTACATAGGAGTACATGACTCTCTAGTTAGTAGGGTTTTTGGACAGAAAATACAGAAGATTGTATCATTTCTTAATTTCATTACCTTTGAAGTGATCGGGGCAAAAGATGAGAGGCAGATAGTGTGGCATCACTAAAGCTGCTAGTTGGAGAATGATCATGAATGAGGAGCGGGGTTGTTGCTGGAAGACTGGAGATTCTGCTGGTATCAGCAGATGCAAGTTCAGATTCAGAAGCTTTCTGAAGAAGAACCCGATAATAACTGACCACGGTGCATCCTCCCATTCCCGTTGCTTTGGGAAGAATCATCTGAGTAGCAACAAACTGTGCTGCATTTTTACTGTTGGAGCCACTAAGAACAGGTCCTCCAAACCAAAGCGCACTTTCTGCTTCCATCACCTAAACAACACAGATGATACCACAGACAGCTAAGCTCAAACAATGCAAAAATAAAGTAAGCATAATTAGAACACATTTTGGACATATATTGATCCTATTATTTTATTTTCTATAATGGTGAACTGAGAAACTAAAATTGTGAAATGTGGAGAGACGTTTATTATTTAATTGTTGCATAGTTCGTCTTGCTTTTCATGTTTTTTAAATCATTTTATGTTCAAAGTAACAGCAGGAATAAAAAAAATATGGACAATTGAGTTTGAGTTAATTTCTGCTGTTTTGTGTGACCAGGAAGTCACTGATTTCAAGTTATATAAAAAGAAAACAAAAAACCTCCAAACAGCAATAGTGACTAAAATGTTGAATGCCTATTTTTAAGTCTTCATATGTATTTGAATAACTTTTGATCTTGCATGTCACATAATACTTTTACACACGTGATTTACAAATGTACCTTTATACCAAAAATGAAATGTCTGCCAATGAAACAGTCCTCGACTGCCTTCACCAGCAATGTGAGTCTTCTAGATTGTTCCACGGGTCTGTCCAAGTTTTCCACCAATCTATAAAAGACACAAAGCCCACACAGCTCTTCACTTAACCATCAGAGAAGATGTTATGTTCTTCACACGTTGTAGTCATTTGAAACTGACAAAAAACCACTAAAATCTGCACTTTAAAAAGAAGAGGTACAAAACAAATAGCATGTATCCACTGTCTCCATATTATTAGGTACACCTGTTAAATTTAATACAATAGGACTGCCATTTCTTTCCTTCTTTTTGGGGGGGTTAATAGAAACTTGCCAAAAATCTTAAATTCTGGCATTTTTGTGGATGGTGGTCCTGGTGTTGTACTGAACTGCAAAGCACTCACTAGTGTTCTAATGTTTTCTCCACCCTCTTATATTCGGAGGGAGGTGTAGTAAACCCTAAGTGACAACAACCAGTACACCAACTCCATCACATACTATGACCTCAACTTATATGTATCCATGGCCTCTGCTTTATCCCAATATATACTCCTAAACCTGGGAAAACATTTTAACAGTTATTCAGTCTTGATAATAGGAACTTGCATTGTGTTTTCTGTACTCACCTTTGTAATTCATTTGCATGAATGCCAAAGAATGGTTTCAAGCTGTTTCCAAATACTGTTATCCCGAATATACGTCCGTCCCGGGCCACCCTCAGTGAGAGACGGTACCTGTAATCCACCTGTTCTCTCAGACACTTGTAACCACACTTGAAGCATCTGCATCTGTGGTGGGTACACAGAGACGATTGACCAGTATCCATATACTGTCAGGTAACGGAGGTAACATACATTGTATAAAAAATATTCTAATTTTCTAAAAGAAATCCATTCAGTTTTAACTGGACTGTATCTCACTTAGATACAGTCCTCTCAGTACAGACAGTTTCTAAAGGGATTTTCACAATGCTACCGTTTCTCGGCTACAACTGAACCTTTGTGTTTACCTCGTAGTGTCCTGCTGGTCAACATCAATCCTGGAGAAACAGCATCTGCAACACGGATAAAACACACAGGGATCTTGCAGAGACAACACCGCACAATCCACCAGTGCCCGTCTATAGGACATTTCAGTCAACTGAGACACGCAGCTGCAGATAGCAGGCTAACCGCTAGTTAATTACCCACTTAATACATGACTGTTTATTTGATCTGTTTTTGTAACCGAAGGATTTGAGCACGAAAAACTATTACAAACGTTACGAAAAACATAGCAAAGCCCGCCAATATCTAACTTTAATGCCGTCATAGCAAACATGCCCTTTTGCTAACTGTACACAAAATGCTACTTCTTCGTGTCTTCATTTCCATGTTGTACGTGAGTCAGCTGGAGGATGCACCGCCACCTACTGTATAAGACGATCACATGAAACTACATTTCTTGATGAATCTACGATAATTTTAATAAAATAATGTTTTCAACTACTGCATGATATGTATTTTATTTAATTATAGATATATTAGTAAAACAAATCAAATTAATTTCTGTTAGATAAATTTTTTGTCCTTTTGCCTATCATTTTCGTCTAAAATTGGAAAATTTGTCAGAGTGAAGTGTCTGTATTCATTTTTTTTTCTTCAAATCTAGTCATTTAAGACTTGTTTGGATAACGTGTAAACTGAAGTTATGTCCAGTATGATGATTCAGCAGTGTCTGAAAACAAACTCTACTGCTCACTTTTAACATCAAAAAGTTCAATGCACAGTGCCTAAAGGGACCAATAAAGGAGAAATTTCTGAGCATTTGTTTTGACAAATAAATGACAGTTTTTCATAAAATCCCATGATGCCACCTAGCCTTTGCATACTATGTCGCAATTGGATATGCATAATCCCCTTCACAAGAAAAATTACTGAACACTGTGTGACAGACCTGACCGGTTTCAGTGCTTGCATCATTTGTTACAAAGGCAGGAAATTGCCCAACATTTGCAACCATTGTCTTTTTCACAACCAGTAAGAGAAAACAACAACAAAGATTCTGAGCATAAGAGTTCCAAAATGAATAAATATTAATAACAAATAATGCAGTCAGACTATTTTTATATCCTTCAATTATTTTATTTATTTCAAGGTATACAGTCAAACTCATCGTTTACCAGTCAAAATGAGTTTGCTACTTGTTTGCTACTCAAGTGAGTGAAGGTCTTACAAATATATTGCTCTTATACTTGGGTGGGTGACAGGAATATATTCACTACATTTGAAGACAGAAAAGCAGTACACGAAAGAACTATCAGCATTAACCTGGAGAATACAAACACGAGTCTGTGATCTAAATGTTTAAGGCCTTTTTGTCCAGACTGTGACTAGATGGATGGCTACAGGTGTTTGAAATCCTAATATAAATAATATAAGTAGTTGGAAACACTATAACATAGGGCACACAAATCATGAACCAGCTGTACATAGTAACATGATGCACCATGATGGCAATTATAACCATTGCTCTGCAGTTGAAATGCGGCTCTCAGTTTACCACAGAGGGGCTCTGATCAACACCCCTTTCCATGTGTGGGAATTTGCTACCTGCAACAATTCAGAGCAAAACCAACATAAAAGAAAAACACCTAAACAATGTAAATATGTCTAACACACATTATTCATTATACTCAACTGTATTTGAAATAAAAGCAAATAAAAGTGCTGCATATCTCAATCTGTTATTTAAGGTGCAGATGAGTGATAAAGCACATCATAAATAGACAAATCCCCAATGTCATAATAGACACAGGAATTATATAAAAAAGACACGGATTTTGCTTTATTTTAATTTATAATTTAAAAAAAACGCTAGGTTAATTCTCATGTCAGCTTGTGTTTGTTCAAGGCACTGGCTTCTAACTGGAGTTGGTCCACCAGATATTTTGACAGTGAATACCAACTGCTCCTTATGCTGATGAGTGAAAGGAAGGGAATGAATTGAAGGAGATCGATAAAGGATATCTTACCCTGCCTTATCCTATGTGAATGTGCCATAATAGATTTTCACTTTTTAAGTTAGTTACTAAACTACCCTGTGTGCAGAAGTTGGATGATAATTACTTTTGATTTACCTGCATTCTCTGATGAAGAAACCTCAACTTCTGGTTGAGACATTCAATTTCCTGATACAGACAAAAAGATAATGACCAGGTGTTTGATTTTTTAAAAACTCACTGTAATATTAACCCATTTAAACCCACTGGGAACAACTTTTGCTGCTCTAAGCCCCTACAACATTAAAAAACAATTAAACATATTGTGTGTAGGGGATGTCTAAGGAGTAAAATGCATGCACTTATTTTGCAGGGAAATTTTGGGGATTTAATGGGTTAAGAGATTTGATGAAGAGGCTAAAACTCTTCAATATGGTTCTGCTATGTTTCTCAGTGCATTCACCGCTTTAAGAAAGTTTAAATACCTGGGTTAGTTTTTCATTACGCCTGAGTTTGACTTGAGGTAGAAGGTCTTCCAGTCTCTGTATCTATAATTACAAATACAATCTAAAATCATTTACAGACAAGTAGCATCTGTTATTAAGTCGTTAATATGTTCATTCAGAGATCAGTCTGTGGACTACTGCCAAACCACTAACTGTATACTGTACTCTCATTAAAGAATACTTGCACTTACCCTTCTTTCAATAGTCTGTAGTCTTGTTTTAATAGTTTTATTGATCACAGTCATGGGGATGGTTCTCGGCTTGGGACACACTGAAGTAATATGAAACCAAACAGAAATCAAAAAGGTGCCTTTTTGTTCAGGACTATACATTGTAGTGATCTTTCTTTCTGTATCTTCTTTACTATTTGTAGAATAATTTAGCCATGATAAACTGATTCATGTTTAAGTGTTTCATGTGTTTCCCATCCAAAATAAAGGAAAACGAGTCCATTCACTGCTACTATTAAAGTTGCGGTTCCATTCTCAGGATGTGGATGCTGACCAAGAGTAGTCTTTAGGATATTCCATTTGTGATACCTTCTAAAATGTCTGTATGTTGTTTAAAAAACTGTTCCATGACAAGAAAATCTAATACTTTATATTATGTTCTATTTTTCTTTTACAGCAAATGAATCATTGCAAATACTTTTTCCAGAATAGAGGTGCTGGGACCCTTCCCAGCACCACATTTGATACAAGGTTTGTTCATAATTCCATTGCCTTTGTATATCCCATAAGCTAAGCTGATTGGCAGTAGTTATTCCATTAACAGGATTATGAAATGTAGAAACATTTACAGACTGTTAAAGATAAACACACTGATTACCATGCTGAAAGATCTTTGCAACCTCAAGCACGTAAGGTCTGTGAAGAAAAATATATAACTGCTTGATTATATATTTTCAGTATGCAGTGATTAAATGTAAAGACTTTTACATCACCAGACCACATACATGTGCTTGCTGTTAGCAGGGATGGAGCTGTTCAGAGGGATAAGATGGCCATGATGGTTCCTTATCTACACACAGAGGAAACTTATCAGCTTGTTGTGTTTTCAAGAGCTCCCACCAATTTTTTTTTCATTAATCATTTTTGACACATGGACCCACTTCCACTAAACGTTTAGAGAAATGCCTGTATTTTACACATGTACCTTGAACACAACACTGGAGCAGTTCAGCCCAAAAGCACTGCTGACAATCTGAAAAGGTGATATAATATAATATAATATAATATAATATAATATAATATAATGGGCAATATTTTAATAAGTAAACAACAAAAGAGCACATTCACATTTTATACTTAATAATATTAACAATCAATGATTTAAAGTCAAAGTCAAAACAACAAAAACAAAACAAATCAATCCAAAAATACACATGATAAGAAAGAACAATTGCATAATTACACATAAAAGATTAATCAAATCTCAACAAATGCTGTGAGGACTGTGATCATTTTAAATCTTTAAATTTAATGTCTGCTTTAAATGCATATTTGTGAGAATTAAATGTATAACTTTGGAGATTTTAAAGTTGATTGGCTGACTCAATGGATGGATGAATGCATACCTGTACAATGATGGTAACATCAGCAGCTGGGGGAATAGACACTTCTCGAAGAGTAGCCACTTTTTCATCTGCAGCAAAGTAAATGTAAGAGTCTACTTTTTACAATGTTACCATTACATAATTGGAAACAGTGCATTTATTAATGGTTAATCAATCATTCACTTATAATTTATAAAGATATAAGCCAAAACAGCCACCAATGCTGTGGAAAACATGCCAGTAGCTGGACATTTGGTTAGTATAGTTATAGGCACTTTGAGGCAACTGTTTTTGTGATTTGACGTTACATAAATAAAATTAAATTGAATTGGATTGAACTTAATTGAATGTTATCAGTGCATCAGATCTAAAAAGCAGTATATTTAGTATAATCTCTCTCAACACAGAAGTGCTTATTTATGTCTTATGGCCATCATGAGAAAGCTGGATTTACATATACTGTGTTTGAATGCATGGTAGCACACTTCACATGAGTATCATGAAAAATCAAATTTACAATCCAAGTGAATGGACTTTATAGTTAACTAGAGACATTTGTTGTGTTTAGTATTTTCAGTTAACTGCAGATTGTTTAGATATACATTATGTGTAATTGTTATGTAAATATATATATATATATATAGGCTATTAGGCACAAATTATTTGGTGTGTTGTTTGTCCATGTTTGACATGGATTTTAAACACTCACATCTGAACACTTGATTGTTACAGTATTTCATTCATCTATTATTAAAATTAACCGTTTAATATATTTGCTAAATACCCAATTGCATGATTCTAGTAATCCTATAATCAGATTTTTGTTCCCTCTTTGGTTCTTTTGAAGAAAAAAACAAAATAAAATAATTTTAGATGTGAGCTCGCGGTCTAATATAACAGTCACCAGCGAAATGCTCCTACCCTTTTGGGGGGTTATTTGTGAGTACGTTATTGCCTGATAAAGCAAAAAATAATATGTAAACATTTTTTAAAATGGATTTAACTTATATTATCTGGAAAAAAAAAAGAAAAAGAAAATATGAGCACATAATCCTCATTTTGACTTTAACGGGTTAAAGGGGCTGGTTGCCATGGACACAGACGCACAGACTGACATCAGTGAGTAATTTAAAAAAAAATCACGGCTGACGAGAAGACGAGAAACTCACACAAACTCACGAACCTTTTTTGTCAAGCCGCCTCAGAGCGATCCAAATCTTTGATACCTGAGGTAATTTATCAAAACTGACGATAGACATTTTAGTCAGAGAGCAGAAGCAGCCGCAGCCGGCGAGTATAAAAAATACATTATACATCCGGCAAGAGACCTTCAAAATAAGGCTTGAACTTCAGCCTTAATAAAGTATCATTCTAAATAAATAGAATGGTACTTTATTAAGGATAGCTTTGCAAATAAAAGAAAAACTGCTGTTCT